AGCAAATTTTTTTATCATCTTTATAGAATGGTCCATCATTAAAAGTCCCATGATGAAAAATATGTATCTTTCCGGTATAAGAAGTGTATCATCAATATCTTCAATGCTTGTCCCTATACCCAACAAATATACATTCTTCAGTTTTTGTAGAGAGTTTTTGTCTTAAGGATTTATTAATATGGACATAACACATGCCACCAAAAGCATGCAAAAGTGAATAATTGGGTGCTTGTCCAGTGAGTTACGAGGATATATTGTTTGGATTTGTAGAGATTGGCAAATATTAATAACAAGCACAATTATATGAAAGGCTTCACTTCAAAAGTGCATCGGTATCCAATTATAAAATATAAAAGGCAACCCCTATTTACTGATGTGTCGGTTTTTTCTACCTACCATAGCATTCTGGGTAGGTGTATGTGAACATGAGAAGGGCTTTAGGATCGAAGTGTACGAGAAACAAATTCACCCCCATTATCACTACAAAGTAATTTAATTTACAGTTGATTATGTCTTTCAATGAATTCTTTGAAGGGCTGAAAAATTTAAAAGGCTTTAGATTTAGACTTTAAAATATATATCCATATAAAGCGAGTGAATCATCAACAAAGCTAACATAATAACGTGAGCCATAGAGAGATGCAACATCCGAAGGTCCCCCATAAATCAATATGAATAAGTTCAAGCAAGAAGTACATTTATTTGCATTAAAAAAATGTAATTTATGATGTTTACCTAGCTGGCAACCTCTGTAGACGATGTCAGTTGTCACTTTATTCCATAATGAAGGCAAGGCCTTGAGCTTATTCAAGTGATCAATTAATTGATGATGCCATAGTTATGCAGAGACACTAGGGCTACTTGTAGAGGCTGGAACAGTAATGAACAAAGCATGGACTTCATTGCTTTCAAAAAAATAGAGGTTTTCCCGATGTTTGCCTTTAGCGAGGAGCTTCATAAATGGAAGATCGTTCACCAAAAGAGCAATATGTGTCAATAGAAAAGAATAATTGAATTTATATATAAAGAATATATTTTTCTTTAACTTTGGGAGCAAGAAAAATATGAGACACTTTTAGGGAACCCATAGATGAAGTGATAAAGGAAATACCAATGTGTGAAGGGAACCAAGGAACTATCACCCATTACGATACAACATAAACCTTCGTATAAAATAACATCAACAAGCATACCTGAATCATCGACTACATGATTTGTAGCTCTGATGTTCACAATCCATCCTGCCTCAGAGGGTGTGGTGAGTGACATAGACCCAAGGGAATGAGTCAAAGCATTAAGGTTGTGTTGAGAGCAATATCGAGATTACCGATGGGTGACATGGTTTATACAACCAAAGCTTTGACAAAATTCAGCACCAGTTCTATTGACCTGCAAAGGGTGGTGGACCACCTTGGGCACCACTGAGATTGCCATAACCGTGTCCTCTTCCTCTTCCATGACTTCGTCCTCTTCCGTTTCCTCTAGCCATTTGAGAGGATACATAGAAAACCTCACGTGTGGGTCCTGATGCAGTGGATGAGTCATTATTTCCTATAGGTGAAAGATCGAACAACAACTATTTTCAAGAAGGAGATGACAAAGAGCTGTATATGATGGTAGAAGTGGTTAGGCCATAATTGAAGTGACAAATATTTTGTATTCGTCACCAAACCCGCGTAAAACATAGCAAACATTTTCTTTGTCACCGATACTGTATGATTGCCAATTGAACAAAGAGAAATTTCATTTTTGTTCAAATAATCTTGAACAAATTGTAACCACGTGTTTGAAGCTCGGTATGAAGGTGCATCAGTCGTACCTCAAATTGTTGTGCATAGGAATCATGAAGGGTAGACCACATATATTTGATAGTGGAGATGTCAAGTACTTGGGCTAGAATTTTAAGTGACAACATAGAATTGATTTACGTATGATGAATTTATTACGAGCACATTTTCATGTTCTGGGTTAGGAGAATCATTTTCGAAGAGAAACTTAGGAGGGTTGTGGTGCAGATCTATCAAGATGTCCCATAATTCCCTTGCCTCTAGCAATATGAATAATTTGGCCTTTACAGTAGAAAATTATCATTGCAGAGTTTGATAGTGACAAGTTGGCGAAGAAGGTTTGGAAAATGAAAAGAATAAATTATTTTGAAGGAAATATAAAAAGAAAGATGATTAAGAGTTTATTATTATTTTTTTATAACTTCTTTTAATTTTTTTGCAGGGTACGATTTGTTTCTTTTTTTAGAGAGAAAGGAAGATATGATCTCAGAGATTGAAAGGTAGACGTCAATGTAGAACTTTAGGTTAGTGAGAGAGAGAGATAGAGAGGGCGCGATCTGTTTTTTTTTCTTTTTTTCTTTTTTTCCGCGGGGTGGGGGGTGGGGGGTGGGGGTAAGTGAAAGAGGACGTGGTAAGTTAGAGAGAGAGAGAAGAGCTTTGAGTTTAAGTGAGAAGAGTAAACAAGGCAAGACGATATCTTTTTGTAGGGTGCCTTTTTGGCTTTTTTAGGTAAGGTAAAAAATAGCCTTTTAGATTAAGAAAAAGAAAGAAAGATAAAGAAAAAGAAAGAAAGGGTACAATGCCTCTTCTCTTTATTTTTGGTTTTCTAGGGGGAAAGAAATCAAGGAGTGGATAACTTGTATTGTTGTAGCGACATAGAGATGATGACTTACCGGTAAAAGCCTTTAAGAGAGGTGGAGGGAGTCGTGGGAGACTAGAGTATCCGCATTGATACCATGAAGAAATTTAGAGGATAAGGTATTTGTGTAAAACTCTCCACACTCATAATGAAGGTTGTGGGTTCTATTTATAATAAATGTGTATACAATATATTTGGTAAAAATATTTGATTGACCCAATCAACAATTATGTTATATCGATCTTTACAAATATGGAAAGATTATGTTCTGGATCTTTCTAGATCATTTGTAATGAGACGGAACTTGAAATATCCATTAAAATTGCTACTTTCACGAAAATTATACTAAAGTATTATAATTAGAGTAATGATACTATAAGACCCTCCCACACCAATGTGAGTAGGACCTCAAAGGATCACCCTTAAATTTTGGCAAAAATCTCTAAAAAACCCATTCACCCAAGTCTTATACCTATGTCATAATTTTTTTAGAGATCTATGTCAAAATTTAATGGTGATCATTTAAGGTCCTACTCACATGCGTGTGGGTGTGGGAAGGTCTCATAGTATCATTACTCTAATTATAATACTTTAGCATAATATTCGTGAAAGTAACAATTTTAATGGATATTTCAAGTTTCATCTCATAATGGTGATCCTTTGAAGTCCTACTCACATGGATGTAGGAGGGTCACATAGTGTCATTTCTCATTCCTAATACATATAATTATTTTTCATATTTTATACTTTTATTTTTATAAATATAATTTTTTTTATGGCAAAAGTTTGTATAGAGCTGAGTCTCTAAACAATCAAATTAGACCTACCTCAAAAATTTCAATTTCATTGGAAGAAGTTTTGATTACCAAATATCCTTCAATTGATCATCTCGACATCATGATGCATGTACATGAGAAAAAAATAGATTTCAAGTTTTGGAAATAGTGCATCTTGTAGCACGCTTTTGGACCATCAATTTTCAAGATTTTCAAGTTGTCATAGATCTGCTCAATCTATGCTATTTTTGAAGCTTCAAATTTTATAATTAAAGATGTAAGGCTATCACAAAAATTTCCAATATTGAAATCACTTTTCTTGACACTATTTGAAGATAGGTTCCAATTTGATTGTTCAGAGCCTCGGCTCTATAAAAATTTATTAGTGAAAATTTCTCTTTATCTCCTAATTTTAACTACCATGTCTCATGAGATCTAAAAAAAATGTCTCCATCTTTTCTATCTTACAACCCCCTAGACCCCTTTCACCATAAAGTTTTTACCCAAACAAACACTAAAATGACACCCTATTCAAACTCCATCTCTCTCTAAAACTCCATCTTTCTCTCTTCGCTTCTCGGTGAGTTTACCAGCCAAGGGGTTTAACTTGAGCTCGAACACGAGTACACCTTCTAATGTGTGAGAAGGAGATAGAGTTTTAGAGAAAGATGGAGTTTGGGTTTTAGAAAGAGATAGAATTTCGAATTTTAGAGAGATGGAATTTTGAAAGAGAGACGATGTGCAAGAGAGAGATAGAGTTTGGATTTTACAGAGAGATGGAGTTTTGAAAGAGAGACGATGATGTGAGAGAGATGGAATTTTAGAGAGAGATAATTATTTCATAAGTTGTAGAGATAATAATACATGGTCAAAAAGATTAAAAGGGTTAGAAAACATAAAAGATGAAATCATCTTGCTTACCAGTAATATTTTCAATTACTAAGTTTGATGAGATATAAAAATTAAAAATAAGGGATAATAAGATATTTTTCCTTTTTATTATTATGATCCGTTTAGCCAACCCCAATTAATTTTGAAAAAAGTTTTGACGATGATGATCTATTTATATTAAATGAAAAAAAAACATATATGCCCCTCTCATCATCATTATCATCATCAAAGCTTTATCCCAATATATAACCGCCACTTTATAACTATAAAATTTCAAATCCTAAGTCAATAGAAAGCCCATAGTCCATTAAGTTAAAAGAAAAGAGTGTTTACCCCCCATGTACCTTTTTCATGATGTACATTGCAAACATTTATCCCCTTTTTTTCCAACCCCAAATAAAACAACCCCCCCCAACTCTTCACCGGTGAATCCCTATATGCCTCCTTCCCTCCCTCCCTCCATTCAACCAACCTCATGCAAACCACGACCTTTTTTTATTTTAATTTTTCAATTACCATAACTTCTGGTTTTTTTACTTCTATTATTGAGTTTTCTCCCACGTACACGTTTAGTTAAAAGAAACCTATAATTAAGAAAGCAAGGAGGTTTGACAATACCCTGTTAAATGTTCCGCTAGTAGAAACCAGTAATGACGTAGAAAAATATAACTTCCATCCCTCAACAAATATATGAAGAGTCATTGACTTCCATCCCTCAACAAATATATGAAGAGTCATTGAATAGTTTCATGTCATCATCCACCAAATATAAACAGAAAAAATTTAGAAGGGAAACCCATGTCGCCAAAAAATGCTACATCAGATGCTTACAATAGAAAAATAGAAAGAGAGAGAAGGGGACCGGGGGAGGGAGGATTGGACCCCAAAATGAAAAAAAAATAAACGCCCCGCATGTGAAGGCATGCAAAAAACATAAAAGAAACATACACTGTTCAAACCCCCAACCACTAGCCGAGAAAAACCAGACTGGTGGACCAAAGCAATAATAGGAAGGCTAGAGAGAGGAGGGTACCACAAGCCCTCATTTGTCCATTATTAGCTGGTGACGAGCCTGGTGCTGAACCCGTTCCTGGGCTTGATGAAGGGACCTTGGCTGCAACTGGGGGCAGAGGGGGCTCAACCACGTCGGGCACTTTGAGAAGTGGGGCGGGAGCATCAGCTGGTGGCAAGGCACTGGGGTCAGCCACTTGTAATAGGCCACGGGGTACAATGAGAGGAACGTTGTATTTGGACTTCGATGCATTGTAGCAAGTGTTCCCTGTGATAACAAAGACAAAACAAGCAGTTACTAGGGATTTCCATGCATAATAACTCATACATGAACATGTAATGCAAACAACGACACTACAAGATGATGCAATGATCATTCTCAGATAAATTGCAGTATTCTATGTGTGTGTGTGTGGGAGAGTGAGAGACTTCAATATGCTGCAGTAACCCTCTCTTAGATGATTGCCAACACTCTCCCTCATTGAGAGATTCTAGAGCAACTAAGTCACGATGAATGTGGGATAACCAAGGTTTAAGTGAAATTGAATTTGATATAAACACAACAGCCCATTTCAATAGAGAGAAGCAAGTGAAAGGTAGAAGGATAACAATGTTCTTCCAACTGCAATTGGAGAGTGTTGGTTCCAAAAGACAGAATCTTTAAACTCAAATCACAAACCATCAATCATCAAAAAGGCAACACTGGGGGGGGGGGGGGAGGAAGTTGCACGGATATAAGTACAAGTCCGCATGTTGATCTATAGCATGAAACAGGAAGATTTCTTAAACTCTGAGAGTTAACCATTGAAATCTAAGGATTAGGAGTTGGGCTTAATTGATTAAGGTTTGTATCATCCAACATATGACCCAAGATCAAATTCTACAACTAAATTACCACCACCACCCCAACCCAAGTTTCCTTCACTGTTGAACCTAGATTTCGGCGGCCACATGTCAGTGTGTCCAGTCTAAAAATACTAGACACCATATCTATGGAATTGATGTACAATGGACCCCCTTAATCATCCTCCTTTTCATAAGAAGTTTCCATTTTTCCGAAGTATTTGACTGTTTTGCAATCTTTAATGAAATAAAATGCTCTCATCTAGGCTAGGCAAAGATAAAGCAAGCAACTTACTCATGTATGATCTCGCAGTTCTGGGAAATTCAGTGATGAGCCCATCCACGTTAACTCCTTGGACATAATTATGTATTTCCACCGTTGGGTCGGCGAAGAAGTCAAAAGCCAAAAATGTGAATTCATTTCGCAACACAAATACATATACATCAAGATTATTCAAGTGCAATGTTTTCACAACGTTAGTGGAAGCCTCAATAAAAGAGCCATGAAAAGAGAATAAGGAACTCCTTCTGACTGCCACTGCATCTGCAAACCCCTTAAGGTCATCAATTGCCATATTTTGGACCCCACTGATTGCATTCTCAACCTCATATACAATCTTATACTTTGTTTTTTGCTTGAAAGCAGTTAGAACCGAGCTATCAGTGGATTGGATCATTACTTGCTGTCTCATCTGGTTATCATAACCAGCATCATGTAAAGCAGTGATAACAGTGTCAATGACTCCAAGGCCTCTTTTCTCTGCTAGGTAGGCTGCATACTGTGCAATAAGAATGGAAAGGACAACAGTAAGGTGAAATGTATGGGGTATGAGAGATATCCACTTCATAAACATGAATTAACTATGGTTATTGGGTTATAATGTTGTAATAACGATGACATTTGAGTCTTTTAGGAGCCCATTTCCCTTGAAAATCAAGAAACGTCTGTTTCCCAGTTTAGCATATGTTTATTAATATCATAGTCTGAAAAGCTTGGTTCAGCCCCATGAGGTGCACGAGAGTTTTTTTTTTTTTTTGAGGTTCGACTCTCAGCTTGCCAACCAAAAGAGTAATCTATAGTTTTAGTCATAAAATTGATCATCTTGAAGCTAGTTAAAAACATATAAGCAACTTTAAACATTTAAGAGCCATTCATTTCAAGTAGTGTTGTAGGGAAGTAAATTTCATGCTCTAGAATGGTAAAAGCCCCAAATCTTCAATACAAGAAGCATGAGAAGAGCGAAATTTGTGCCAGGCATTACTTTCGCTCTATAAATGCGAAATGGTCTTAACTTGCAAATAACTCAAAATGAATTGACTAGGCTGACTAAATTACTTAAAACATTGTCTATTAAAAAAAAAACAAAGGCGATAAAAAGGAATATCAGAAACATAAAGAAGACAAGTAATCAAAGATAGGAGAGTTATATCAATCGTTCAACAAGAACTAGCATGAGTAACAACTACTTATAACCTACAAATAATCACAACTAACAACTATTAAATCCAAGTCACTTGAAATTTGGAGCACCTATTCTTTAAAAATAGAAGCATCTAATAAGAGTATCAAAAAAATAATTCACAAAAAATAAATTGAACAAAATACCCCTGAAATTTTCAAGGATATTTTGATCAATTTATTTTGTTAATATCTTTATTAGGTGAGCCATGATGAGAATAGTGGATGCCCCAAATTTCATGACTTAGATTTATAGAAAAAACAATAAAATTACATTACGAAATGTAGTCATGACCGTCAGATCGACCCAAATTCAATCTGGGCCATTGGGCTTACACTATCAGCCCATGGGCTGACATGATCTTTTCCCATATATAGATATATATATATATATATGGAAGAAGCTACAAAACGCCTATAGGCGAAAATGAACAGTGATTTCGCCTACCATCATCACCATCCAAACTTCACCGTACGGCCACAATTGTCCAATAGTGTTTCAATTTTCATTTTTGTTTTACTAATCAGTATGATCTGAATTTTGGAGCATGTATACATCTTTATGAGGCGCACCTAATAAAAATATGAAAAAATAATTCGTAAAATATAAATT